TCAGTAGTTATCAGCGGGGCAAGAGACCGTAACCTGGGCAACATGGGTTCTCAATCTGACACTCTAACCACTTGAACTATCCGTGTTGGCTTACAGCACGTTACCACCAGTCTGTGCTACACGCACCGTCATGCTCCAGTTCGATTCCCAGTGAACTCAGTAGATCTGCACCTGAACGATTGAACAGGTGTACAGTATTTACAATAGCTTTCGGTGGTGAGTGACACGTTGGCTCTGATGGAGAGATACACTTTCAACTTCCTACCACACGTCTTGAATCGTTATAATAAAACTGTTACTCTATTATCCATTTGCATTTCGATTTAACACACACACGCTGTGTTTTGTTTTCGCATCCGTCCAACTCTCCCCCAATTAGGACCAAATGGAAACGTCAAACCGCAGTTGGATTTGAATTACTTGCAGAGGCGGGAAACTTTGTGGCTGTTCAACGTATTCTACAAACCAATTCCTACTGGGCCTATCACCCAGCTACACAATCAATTTTGGAGAGTATGAAAGCAATGGCACGTTTTCAAACAGCTACAGACACAACCGAACTACCGTCAAATCTTATTCAAACTTCTGTTGCGAGTAATTCCTCCGCCGAAAATAACGGGACAAATGCACCGGCTTTGTCCACTTCCACAGAGAATCTGGTCACTCGATCAGTCCTTGGTGATCGTGACACAGATAAGGAAAGACCCACTATGCCGATCCAATCACGTCCTATTCCCAGTTCAGGCATCTCTTTCCTGCCGTCTGACCTGAGTGCCAGTTCAGTTTCAGGCAAATCAACAACTAAAACCCTGCCAGTCCCACCTGGTCCAATTAGTTCCACCCAAAATTCCAACGATTTGTCGCGAATAGGTCCTGTCACGTGGCCAGAGACTTTAGCCACATGGAACGGCTTGGATCAAGCGATCAACGGGATTACTTCAAACGGTAAAAACAATTTTGATTTGACAGCTTATTTCCAATGGTTCTTTCATGCAATGAACGGTCAGGAACAAACCGTAGCACCATCTGCCACACCCGAGAGTAGCACGGATTCGATCCCCGCCAAATCAGCTATGCTTATGGCCAACAAGCTATGGCAATTCAGTCAGACAGATGACCGATCGACTGTGCCCGGCACAATCACTGGGGTCAATCCCCCCAACCCTCTCCAGGCGACGAGCGTGGTTCGCGATCAGCGCAAACTGATGGAAGAGTTGGTTGCGATGAACGCGTGGATCAAATTGCACACGAATCAACAGAACAATCCGACAACAGCAAACCTCTGTCCAGACGAACCTTTTTCCGCGTAAAATGATCCGGAATGCAAGGCCGAACCGGGTAGTACTCTGACAACATAGGTTACGTTAATTCCATCATGTGGTAGAGCTCCGACTGGAGTAAAATCGCGCGCGGGGGATCCGCTCCAGTGTCCACACATTGCTCACGATCATTACCCGAGTCATGGAAAAATCAATCGCTAGAGAACAACATAATCGTAGTATGGAACGAACCGAGATCATATCAACTTCAGGCAACAAAATCCCGCCCAGTCTATCTCGATTTGTCTGTGAATGCGTGTGTGATAACCAAACTCTGTGTATGATATTCACGTACAACTATTTACCAGTAGCAACTTGTCCTGACAATTATCCCCCCGCAGTCCGGCGCTGCATGCATACCCATCCATCTAGTCAATCGAAGATCAGCTCACATGCATACAATTTATTTGATCTGAATACTTTGAACGTTCCTTCTGCTATACCTGCTATACGAACGCATGTATTGCTTCATTCCAGTTTTTTTTTGAACTTGGTTTTCATTTGTTTTGTTTTTGTTGGTGCGGTGGGAAACACCACGAGAAGTTGAGGTTAAAGAGCTTGGGAAATCCTTTTATCAAATCTTTGTCTCAGGTCGATTTCAATGAGAAAGCGCTATAGTTCAAACGTCTCCGAATCCAAACACTTCATCAAACAAACCATCGTGCCCAACAAAATCGGTATCCTTCCCATCAAAAAATCAAACCGAATATATTTTTGGTGCACTACAACACGAGGTTGTCCAATTCCGAAGGGTTTATACTTTATGGAAATTCCACTAACTCCGAAAGCTCCACTAATTTGGTTAACGTGGTCAGAACTGGCTAATTGTGATCATACCGAATTTATTCACAATACAGATCATTTAAACACGGATGGATCGATACTCGCGAAAAGGAGAGAAAATCTGACTATAGTCACGCCATCTGACTCGGGTAAACTGAAATCAGTTACACAACTTGTACCCAAATGATTTCAAATCTCACTACAATTTCGTAATCGGAACCTTCGGGTTACAAAAGCCGCCCCCCCCTCGCCCTGGTCAGCGCATCGGTTAGCACTGAAAAGCGGTATTCTATTAGAGGTCTGTGTTCAATCGGCCAATTCTTTTCGCATCAGATGAATTTCAGACTTCCTGGGTGCTCAATACACCCTATCTTCTAGCTGTGTCAATGGTCATCGCAACGAGCGTATCGTTACAACGGTTTGTAAGTCTACCCTTTAGAGGTTTGACATCAGGATTTAACCCCCCCCTCCTCGCCCCATGGTTTATCTGTTCCAGTTGAAGCTGCTGAACCATGGAAGTTGACCGAAGAAGCGAGGCTTTTGATTTTACATGACCGATATTTCATCCTCACAGCTAGCAATAGGAAGTTGGAGATCGAAAAGGTTAGGAAATTTGTGAGTTTCTCCTTAATGCGATACCATTCGAAACACACAAACATACTGATGTTCTTTGAACGAATCGTCTAAAATGAACACAATAGGGTGATCTCTGTTATATGGTAGAGTTCTGAGTCAGCTGGTTAAGGGCGTATTGTACAAATGTACAGGTGGAATCTGTGATTGCATTCCAGTTTCATTCAGATTTCTTATTTGTGCACAGTAGGACTGCATGGAAACCACACATCAAGTCTATCAAGGAGAGCAATTCATCTCAATATTATGTGCCTAGTTTTATTAGAATGGAGTACAAGTAGGTGAACGAGTAACAGTTTCACGCAGTTAGATGAGGATCTATTTAGATAGAGTGCGGAGAACTGCAACGTAGTTGGTGGTAGATGGTGATAGTCAACTGTCAAGTGGCAAAGATATCATTCAGGCCTTTTTATTTCATAGGCCGGCTACAGGTTATGGTGTAATGTGATTGCAGCTTTGAGGTGATTGAAAATCCTCAACAACCGGTGAACTTTCAGATTCGCCCAGTTGGTTTCCACCGAACACGACAGTTGTCCGTTCAGGATTCTTCCCGCTTCTGTTTTCTTTTTCACTTCATTCGATTATTCGTGTTGAAAAGCAATCAAAAGAATGCTGTGGAATGAACAGGTGCCAAAGAAACCTGATTTCATCAGTAATTTTTGATTTACACGATGACGTCTTGCGTAGAGAAAGTGAATGAACTGGACGGACTGAGGGACACTTTGAAGCTGGTTGGAACTTTCCGTTCATATATATGTATATATATATACATATATATTACTAAATCGTAATTTTTAATTGCTGGTTGTATCTGCAGTAATAAAACTGTTGTCATGAAGTATGCCTTTTAGAATACCACAACTTCGGAGTCTCCAAGATGCTGATGTATGTGAGTAGATATGTAGTGCTGCACTGAATCCATGGAATATAATGCGAAAAATAGTGCGCAATGATGCAAATAGACAAGGCTAATATAATAACGTGATAATAGTATTTTTACTTTCTTCTATTTATGGAATACACATTGGTGAAGTTAATGTTCAGGAAGGGGGCTGCGGCGAATCACGCGTTACCTGGGGAAATATTGTAACGGGGCAGGTGTCGGACCTTAAATATTGGTTGGTTCTGAAGATTGTCCCACTTGCATAAACTGTCCTCGCAAGCAGACCGTAAAACCTTGCTACCGCTGGGTTCAAATCAGATCAGTGAAATGACCGATGAACGATCTGGATGTTGGGACGCACATTTAGCTCATCTGAGGCGAATAATGGTGAAACTATACTGTAAGAAAAAAAATATAAACTCTGATCGATCTCCCGGGAATTTATTCAAAGTTCTGATGTGCTCGGTACCCCTTTGTAATTACAATGGAGCCCCTGCCGAGAGCTTCATGACTAAAGTTACGTTTGCTCTTCCGCACCCCTAATACAGTAAACCCTGTGGTTCATCACAGGCCATCCGATTTTGCACCTTATTCGTCATCAAACAGCAAATCACTTCATTTGGTCTTCCATTTAATGTGATTTCTCGCTCAGTTCACCCAAACTTCCATATGACTTCAACTGATCCGAATTGCCACTCTCATCTGCACCAATCGTTGTTGGTTGTAGAACCTGTTGTGTGCACGGACCTCTGTGATGTAGCAATAAGAGATTGTTTCATGGCCTTTCCCAAAGTTTTTGCTTCCTATATATTCTCCACGCCCCCCCCCTCCACCCCTGGATGCGAATAATGACTTGGATCCCTCAAAAATTCCAGATACCCATTCCCTTTCACTCTCATCGGTGAATTATTCCGGTAATTTTGATACTACTTGCTCCACAATGTGTGATTCTCTGAATGAAAAACCTAAATTCACAATTCGAATACACCAACTATCGGGGCTGCATTCACGAAACATCCATTGGATAAAAATTGCCGAGGGACTTGTCCCGGAGTATCAGTCAAAATACTGGCTATAGATACAATTCATTCAGTCAAGTAAAACAGTCATGACATCTGCTATCTTGCCACCACTAAACTGGTAAACCAAAAGCGTTTTAAAACACCAGGGACACTCCTCATCCGTGGTAAAATCAATTTTATTATGGTTGACTTCGAATCGGATGAAGATCGGACAACACACGAATATCAGGAAGGCAAAATTCCTCTTGAAGACTAGCTCAATTCTGAAGGAAATCGGAGTCACCTTATAAGAAAACACTGGAGATTCCAGAGAAGTCATGGAGTGTGATGTAATATATGCGAGCCCCTAATCTGCTCAGTCTTATCGGTCAAATTTGTTCTAGAATATTCTAGTATGGGTTACTGCGTACAGTTTCCAGAATTCTCAAGGTCAATTCATGTACAGTGATCGCGCTTTTCCCTGAAGTGTGAAGAGCAGTTGGACGCTGTTGTATATAACTTTCAAGAGGATCTTGTTGGATTCTGATTTTTGGAGTTGACGACTGAAGAGTTGGAACTGGAGTCTGAAAGCGGGACTTCGCGAGACATAACAATGAAAAAAATGCATTTTATTCTCCCACGTGTATGTGTTCTGTAGATGGATCGCAAAACAATGGAGGGGTGCTGGAAAAGCATTTCACGCAGTTTACCTAAATGTCCTTCATCAAAGCAAGATTTACGGTAGACCGCATACCTTGAAAATGATAGCTGTTCGTTTACACTTTCAGACCGGCAGATCGATCCCGTATGCCTAAGATCAACCGGTGATATTTTCTTTTTGTGACCCAATATGTTTTCTCATTTTCTTCCCAATAGTCATTCCAGGAATGCCTAAAAGAGAATCAAGTCTAATCCATCGCGCGTGTTCTTTTGTGAAAGGCACATCAGATCTTGTGGTTCCTTCGGCGATAACGCTTTTTCTCTTCCGATCATCCCTGACATTTGGCTCTCTCGCATATCCACTTTGATCGATTCATTGTTTTTTGTCCTCCAATAAACCTTTGCATAGAAATTCCATAGGTCATTGTTTGTCACGAAATCTCACCGACACCGAGGAAACTTGAAATTAACTTCGGTGTGTGAAACCTAAATCATACCCTTACAGCTTTTAATTTGTCTTTTGCAAAGCTTTTCCCTGTGGTTACGAAACTATGCGTGGTACATGCCAATGAATACAACACTAAAGATCCAGATTAGAACGTCAACCATTCTGACTCAACTTGCTGATAGACGCTCTACCTACCACAGAGAATTAAATTGTCCACACAGTTCACCGGTATCAAAAAATAAGAAAACTATTATATTGTGCCCCTTAGATCGGTCAATAATGACTGGGATTCGGTTAATTGCAAGAAATTTGATGATGAACTACAATCTTGTGTGATTGAACAATAACACAGTGGTAGATATGCATCGTACACCCTTCTAGGACGTATCCATCTAGGGAAATAGGGTTCAGTTTGTAACATATTTCACACACTTTTAAACCTCTATAAATAAGTAACTTTGATAGAGTCACCGTTGCATGAGTATTGATTTATGATCATAGAAGTCATCAATCAGATAACACCTCTGTCGTACTCGCGGAAAAGCCCCGACTCGCTGAAAGTGGGGTGGATAGCCCCAAACGT